CAGTCTCAAAAAAACGCGAAAATTTTATTTTTTTTAGAAAACGGTGGAAAACGTGTTTATTTTATAGAAAAAACTGGAAAGAACGTGGTCTGTTTAGAAACGATTAGAAACAACACTGGCGTTTTCTCTTGAAACACGTAGGAAAGCGTTCTCTCATCTTATGGTTTCAGTGCGTTGAGAAAACAAACGAAAAGCAAGACGTTTTTCTACTTTCTCGTTTCAACGCTTCTACGAAAAAGCGGATTAAAACTCGTTTTTTTATGTTCTCATTTTGGTGAGACAAGTCACGTAGAAAATTTGGCAATGGGTAGGTGTATTATGTCTATGTATAGCTGTATAATATTCCGGAGAGACTCCACTGTATAAAATGAAGGAGAAAATCGTGTTCAACGTATAAATAGTGCAATCGATAAAGAAATTTAACGACCAAGAATAACTTGAGTTACATTGAATATTGTCGTATTAAGTGTTATAGAAATCTACCCTTGTTTTCTACCAATAAACCTGTATCACTTTGTCTTGAGATGTATAGAAAGCTCGTTTGTTTGATGACACTTTTTTTGCACAAATAAGCGATATGGGTATGCCAATACTCATATTGCGTAAGACAAGATCCTGTTGAACAGTGAGCGAAATGTCCTTAAATCGTATTGAGCCATAAAATTCCCTGAAGTTGTCTGAAGAACGATTGTTAAAACAAATGATCATTGTAGCGTGTCTTCTTATTGAGATTCAGGGCACACGGTTAGATCAGACCATAAACAGGATAAAGACCACCGAGAACGTTACAGAATCTAAACGTAAAATCTTCCCCACTGTTTATTTTAATGTTGGGTATATACTTTTATATGCAGTTTAAGAACGATTTCTTATTGGAAAACAGCAGTCTAATGGAGACAAAATAAGGGGAAGGTGAAAGTTCAGTATGGGAAAGATCAGCGAAAGCATTGATTTCACAATTTAGGAATAAAAGTCAAAATTGTGGTTCTTGCAAAATGTGCTGAGACAGCATGATTTTTGTCTTGCTTTTCAAAGACGAGATCATTCTCCACGTCTGATGAGCGTCCTGTTTACATGTTCCTCTTTGTCGTCCATACGTGAAAGATCATTGGTAAAATCAGTTTTAGCCGTAGCTTTTACACGAGTGGCATTATCTCTACTGATCGCTGAAGAACCTGTTAGTTTACATACCATCCAATGGTAGATGGTACTAGCAGCACCAAGTGCCAACAGAAAACCAATGGAACTTAGTGGAGCCCAGTGTAACTCGGTGGAACCCTGTGGAGCTGCCGCCAGTTCCACAGCTCTGGTGATGTCAGATGGCTTCATATGAGATCCAATGAGCTCCGCGCGGCTCCACTGAGTTCCGGAGGGTGAGAGCTTAGTGGAACCGAATGGAACTGATTGAATCTCATGTGGAACTGAGTAAAGCTACTTCGAACTCATTTGGAGTAATATGGTGTCACCAGAGCTACGGAGTTGCTTTTCACCCTAGACCTGATATGTATCAAATGAAATCACATTGTCGAGAGGGAGGTTGTCCAAAAGGAGATTGAGCATAAATTATGTATGAGTTCCCCCATCATTTCGAACTCATTTTACTTGTTTCAGATACTCATGGACCAGAACAAAAGCGTTGTTGCACATTACATAAAACAAGCAATCTACATTATTACACTTTCCATAGTATTGACTCTCTTTATACAGTTTTATTCAATGAAGTATTCCAGACGTATCCTGAGTTTCGAGAAACTGCGTTTTGTTCCTTCGATAATAACGAAAGATACCATTTCTCTCCGAACTCATTGTATAGAACCCAACTGTGTCACTGAATGCACGGATTTGTACACAAATGATACATCGGTGGAAACTGTTGAACAAGGACGATTGACACTCGAACAAGCACAACATTTGCTCATTGATCTAGGTGAAGATGTCGCGGTTAACGAGATGATAAATGATTATCCTAAGCCAAAACTATGTCCCTTTCGATCGCCCAATGGACAATCAACTAATCGACAAGTTGAATATTATCCTATGTCCTTCGGTTTCGTTGAGAATCGGTTGCAAACAAGTATCCCTAGGAATGTGTCACTATCTAATGGTACGACACAAATCGTTCAACAAACTTGCTTACCGAAAAAGACAATTGACTTTAGTTTGTTAATACCTGGTCAGAAAGAAACTTACACGTTTGGTTTTGGTCAGGAGTTGGACTATAGACGCGTGTACGGTTCGGCTTACTTTGCCTTAACAAAAAGGAAAGGCGGTTGGGATTGTAATCGTCACTATGAAATTATCTCTTCAGGCACCATGCCGTACTTTGAGAGACTAGAATTTGCCGGTGCATTAATGA